TTGACCCAAGTGGATATTTTTACCTTCTTTTCACAACATCCACAAAAGAGAACCCAACTTACACTTTCTGGTATAAGCTTACATAATCAACAGTAATGGAGGATAATAATATTTTGAATGGTAGACGAGACTTACTCTTGTCTAGCCTTGTTCAACAAAATTTTCTGACAATGTTTTTTTTCTCATCACTATTTAAACTTTCTTTCTACTTTTGATTAGGTGTACAAATCGGGAGTAACACATTACTTTAGTATGAAGAAAGCCCGTGATGATCTTGGCTACAATCCACAGAAATACACACTTGATGGAGTAACAGAATATTTCAAAAAGAATGGCCACGGAAGACAGAAGCAGCGCTCTCATCTTCTATATTATTTAGTTAATGTTGTCATAGGAATTATGTGTGCTTGTTTGCTTCTGGCTTGGCTTCCTAGAGTAGATACCTGAGTAGTTTCTAGAATCATTACATATTAGTGGTATTATAAATTGTGTTCTCCTCAACTGGAAGTGATCCTTTAAACTAAAAGACGGAAATGTCAATTTTCTTATTTGCATCAAACATGATCTAATTCCTCTCTCCCTTTTTAATCTACCCAGAATCAGCATTCAATTTACCAATCCAAAAAAATATGGGAATAGAGAGGACTGTCTAGTGACAACTAATAAAATAATAACAGCTGGTAAGAAATATACTTCTAGCTGGTGATTTATTTGTTAAGAAAGTATAGGTTGAAGATTAAAATCTTGCAGATTAGAAGAGTGGGTGACTTATCAAGCCAGTGCTAACTCCTGTTTCTAGATTTGACCAGCATTAAGTTCTGATTGGGCTGTTTTAATAGTCCATTACAGGAAACCCCCAGGTACTTTGTGAGATTGCCCCAACAATCTGCAAATATCCACTTTATACTCCTGGGTGACAAGAGGTTCTCTTAGCACTCGAACACAGACCTCTAATACCAGAGTCCAGTGCTCTGACCATTGGAATGTCAACAAAATATAGTAATTCCCACAGGACCCTTACTCTCAAATCACTCTGGGTATTGTTAAGTTATGGGAAACAAGGTGACTGCAGAGGTGAAGGGGAGCAAGAGCCCCAAGTAAGTGAGTGTAAAAGTTATTACTGTGGGGAGGGAAGGTCGCTGATCCCTGAGTCCTCCAGCAAATCATGAAAAATAGAGTATGTGTAAATTGGGAAAATCAATTTTTAAACAGACAAGGTTAGCAGCATAACATGTGACCGATAAAAACAACTAGGCCCATGGAAAAGAAAATTAGGGTGCTTGCTCATGTGGGCCCAGGTGAGAATAATACTGTATTGTCAACATTGAAAAGTGCCTTAGTATTTCCCCTTTTGGTATTCCCTCTTGTTTTTATGCAAATGTACATTGTATATTTTTTTTCAAAAGACATCTTCATCTTCTACACAAAATTACTGCACAGGAGTATATTTAGAGAATGAGGCTTGTGCAGTAGAGGATTTGCACATTGTCATCATTTGACCACAGCTACTACAGTTCCTTTCAAATGTTCTTTATTATGTAAATTTTGAAGCCCCAGTGGGGTTTAAATAACAACTGGATAACCAGATAACAAGTATTCTGGTAGTTGTAGTCAAATGACGCCATAGTGCAAATCATGTATAAGGGAGTGATGACTCTAGGTACCTACTGATTTCATAATTTATTCTTCTATACAACAATAGACCATTTTACAGTTGTTTGCTCAGTGACGTGGTCTCTGAATGGCAGCGAGGCTGAAGGTGACCTTGTTTTGATACAGACCTCACCACTTTTGTTGTGTAAATCAAGTTGTTCTCCTGCTAACTAGTTGGCATTTGATTGAGAAAAGCAGAGAGGTCTGTATCAAAGCTAGGTCACCTCCAGCCTCGCTTGCATTCAAAGGCCAGGTAACTGAGCACACAATTGTAAAATGGCCTATTAAATTTTCATATTACTGATTAGTGCTTTTAAAACAACTGGAGAAGTAATGACAAAACTGTTATGCAAGCCAATCTTGACCTTCATCCTCAAGTAAGCATGCAGGTAGGCTGAGGAACTGCAACTCTGACATTGCAAATCACTACCGGTACTGACCACAATAATTCCTAAGTAGGCACAATTGGCTTAACACAACATACCATAATATTTTATTCAAGATACAATAAAATAAATTCGAAAACAGCCCTAAGAAAATACGCGCACTGACTGGTTAAAAATCGTGTTTCTATAACTCGATGGAAACACAGAACTAGCACAAGCTGTTGATGTAATAATGGTGCGAGCAAAGAGAATTTCCATTTTGATGATCAAAGTAGCAAACCTGTTTTTCTTTTCTTCATCGCGGTGTTTTCTAAAAGAAATAGAAAACATGTTCTCTGTGTTTCTATCCAGTTATAGCAACACTCCATAAAGTTTGGGAGAACTCAAAAAAGCTGTGGAAACACTCGCCTGCAGCTCGTGTTCCCACAGTATTCCTCATTCTCCCAAACTTCCACTTGAGTTTCTATAACTCGATAGAAACATGGTACACGTTTTTTATTTCTTAAATAAAACACATCTTGAAAAGAAAGGGACAGTTAAGGTTATGGAACAACAACTCAAACATAATTTGGAGCTGTAGCTAAATTACATCCAAATGCCTCACTTACATCCTTATATTTTATTTACATCTGTACATTCAACCAAATATCAGGAAAAAAGGACAGGACTTCCTTAGAATGAAGGTAATATTATATTAACACTATTTTGAGTATTAAATTTAATCCTTGCTAACAAAATTACCACAAAGTATCTTTAGTTATTGATTGTAAAATTAGCAATAGTAATTGGACTGAGTGGAGTACAATTCAGGGAGTAATGGTATCTGTAACAAAATTCTTGATCGTGATTGGTTCTCCACATGCCCATTTGTCATGTAATCAGCACGCGATCACGTGGGTGTCCAATTACAGGTATCCAATTTGAACTTTTTGTTATTGGATACCTGTAATTGGATACCCGTGTGATTCGCACGTCAATTACGCGCACTTTAATGGCTTTGTACAGGTTTGAAAAACTTATGAAATGCGTTACAGACGTTTTCGCTCAAAAGAAGTTCTCAAAAGACATTTGTTATTCCAAAATTTGTTATAGATACGATTAATTAGTAACTGGACCCTGTGTCGTACAATTCAGGGAGTAATCATGCTCGTAATTTCAAATCGGCCTCACACTTTGCACTCGTCCAATTTTGAAATTACTCACATGATTACTCCCTGAATTGTACTCCACTCAGTCCAATTACTATTATTAATCATGAGAGTAATTTCAAAATCGGATGAGCGTGAAGCGTAAGCTGATTTGAACTTACGAGCACAATTACTCACTGAATTGTATAATGTGAGGTCCAATTACCAGTCAATCATATCTACAACAAATTTCTAAATTAAAAAAGTCTTGGGAGAAATTCTTTTGAGCGAAAAAGTCAGTAGCTCTTTCCATGAGCTTTAAAAACTATACGCAACATTAAGAAGAAACCATTAAAGCCCACGTAACTGATATGTGAATCACTTTACGTATCCAACTACAGGTATCCAATTACAACTTTTTGTAAATGGATACCTGTACTTGGACACTCACATGAACGCGCCCAATTTTGTCACAAATAGGCACTCGGAGAATCAGTCATGATCATGAATTTTGCTATAGAAGGATACAATGTGTAAAATCAGTACAGTCGCACTGATTTGGAAATTAGGGCTAATTGCATTTTAACCATCTCATTTTTAACATATTTAACATAGTTATCAGTCTTTGATTACTTCTTATATTAATACCTAATGGACTACAGTATCAGCCTGGGATCACTGCAAAAACAAATAACAAACTTCAGTCATAAAAACAATTTTAATTTCTTTTGTGCCAGTGCCCTTTTCATGTACCACACTTGATCTCCTGGTCTTCTTTTCCCTTTGACTGCCAAATAGAAAGGGGAGTCCGGCTCTTTCATCTCTTCTGGTCTGTGACTTTTAAATTCTTTGTATGTCTGAACTGGGCACTGGCTGGTGCCTGGGTCTGTACTCATCTGTGCTACGGGCAGAAAAACTTGACGTGGCTTAGAACTACATCTAGCTTTCAAAACAAGACTTTCTTTTCCAGTTGTTGGGTCTTTTGCCAAGGATACATCACCCCATTTGAGCAGATGACTTTCATTTTTACGAATGCGAAAGAGATTAAGCAGGTCCCGTGAAACTTGCCTCTGTAGAACAGCAGCTTCATCACAGTTCTCTAACTTTCTTCTTTTATTCTCTAAGTCTTCTTCAGCAGATAGAGGTCGTTTACCCATGCCACTGGTAACTCTTTCATTTGACTTCTGGTCATCTTGTTTACAATAAATGTTCTCCTTGTTAGACCCTGTCTTTGCATCTGTTGAAGAAAATAATTCTATGATTGTGTATTAACACTGCACCTAGGGAATGAACTACCTGACCAATCATAGCGGGTGACATGGACAAATGAAGAAAACACCTTGTTTGGTATCTTTACCTTTAAAAAGATCCTCAATTATCCCTTTGAATCGCTCACATGCGATGCTCCATGGGTACATTCTTCTGTAATTCTCTCGCAGGTGAATAGCATTATCAGATCTCTCTTTGGGTGCTTTGCGGGACAACTCCTCGATTCTCCTGGCCCATTCCTCTGGCTCTTGACTTGCTACAACCACAGAGTCTCCACCTTTTACTTTCTGAAGAGTTAAAGCGATTCCTGAATGCCTAGAGATAAGAACTGGGATAGCAGCAGAAATGGCTTCCAAGGCAGCCATGCCAAAGCCTTCAGCACGAGATGGCAGAACAACCAAGTCTGCGGCGTACAGCATCCTCTTCACTTCTTCTTGATTACAATAACGACGGATTGTTAGTTGCTCGCGCCTAATCCCCGTTTTCTTTACAAACCATGCCTCTGTTTCTCTTTGTTTGCCACGTTGTGAACCAACAGATGTCAGTTTGAATCTCTCTCCTAAGGTAGCGATTGCTTTTCCAATGATATCGTATCCTTTAACAAATAGGTCCTCCGAGGTTACTCGGCCAAACACGTAGACACTGAAATCATCTGTCACGATAGGACCTGGCTCTGGAAGAAGACGCTTCGGCTGATTGGCAAAACTCTCCAAAATTCCCGGGGTGAGAACCTGAACATCAGTACCCGGAAGACATTTTCCATACTTGTATTGTAGTCCGGATCCCACGCTTACAACCACATCAGCCGCTTCGCACAGCTGTATTTCAAGCTTGTGCTTGTTTTCGTTTTCATCAATCGTATCTACTGTCGATCGCTTCCCTTTCTTAAACTTTCCGAGATCTTCACAGAATACGTGAACAAATTGGATCCATTTGCACTTTGTACGTTCCGCTATGAAATACGCAGGGCTACCAAACTTTCTTCCATGGCCTATCACGATGTCAATTGAAAGTTGCGGCGGTATTTTCAAATGATCTAGGGGATCAGTAGATCCAGGAATACTCTTGGCAGTGATTAAATTCACTCCGTGTTTACTGGCGTCTTTTCTGTCTTCCTCGTCGCTTTGAGTGACATAACAGAAAACATTGAAGTTCTTACTCAAAGCCAAATTCAGAGCAAGCTCTCTATTGAAAGTGGTTAAACCACCTTTTAAAGATTTCCATTCGTCGCAAACAAACAAGGCATTGATAATAAGATCTGTCTGTTCCTTAGCACATAAAATACTCGGTTCTTCCTCGCAGTACATAAATCTACATCACCAAACTACCGAAGAATAGCGCGAATCGAATCGAACTTCCCTCCAAAAGTCTCTTGCTTTGGGCAGGCTACGGGATTGGTTGATAACTTTTGACGTCAGAGTTTATAAGCTCGTTCCCAGGCGCCCTCCTCTCCCTCCCCTTGTCGGTTGGATGAAGTCGTTTTCAAATGACACCAAAGTTTCTATCCCCATCAGGCATAAAAAGTAAATTTATATCTGTTTACAATTTTACAGTTCAATAGTGTGCTTTTGTTTGGAAACCAGAGTATCGATATGTGGTGCACCTACATGGCGTTTCCATAATGGGCTCTAAATTTCTGCGAAACATTTCGACGAAAAGCTGCAGTTTGGAAAAGCGCACAGACCGAAAACTTGGTGAAGTGTCGTCTTTATTTATTTCATATAAGATCACAATTTCTTGACTTCATCCACTGAATGGTTTTCGATTTATTTGATATTGCGTGACAGTGAAAACGAGTTATTTGTAGAGCATGTACGTGTTATAATGGCTCATATATCGTGATGGCTTAAGGTTACCGTATACCTTCAGGGGTGTCTCGCGTCCAAGCGATGTAGCGCGTCCGGTTTAAGCTGTAGATACCTAAGCCCCTATATCAAATTAA